TTTTATTATTATTCAAAAAATTTTCGGTCAGTTATAAAATAGTTATATAATAAAATTCTCTCTGTGATTACAAAGTTGTCATTTGCAAAAAAACAACAAAAGTAAATGGGATTAAAAAAACAAAAATCGATTAATTATTAAAAAAAAAAATTTTCTCAAATCTCTTTTAATGAAATGTTACTAATTATCAGTCCCCCCTTTTTTTTTCCAATAAATTTTTTCCTGCTTTACTATATAATTATAATAAATAAATATTTAAAATAAGAATTATTTGAAACCCTGCTACGAAGGTAACAAGTTTGAAACGAAAATAAAAATTGTTTAATATATATATATAAATATTGTGGGGGCTAAATTATAATTGAATCGTTTTTTTATTTTTTAAATTATTTTTTTCATAGCTGGGGGGGAAAAAAATTGCATTTAGATAATGCGTTGATGCAAAAAAAAAAAAAAAAAAAAAAAAAAAAAAAGTACTTAGACAAGCTTTTATGTTAATAAAATTGATGAGATTTTTTATCTCAGTGAATGAAAAATAAAATGAAATTCGTTATAATTTTACCTCATTTTATTTTTTTAAATATATATATATTTTCTTGTGACGAAAAATCTTTTTTTTTTTCATTTAGATGAATAAAATATATTTTAAGGGATTTGTAATTGAGTTTTCGAAATGTTTTAACTTTTAAATGTTGTAACTTTTCCTTTTTTTTTTTTTTTTTTTTTTTCTCTTCATGCAGGTATTTCAATTTAAAGTCTTTGTATAAGTTGCATGAAACGAAACGATGGGAATTGTAAAAGAAGGTAAGTGAGAGAGAGAGAGAGAGAGAGAGAGGAAAAAATAATATGGGCCAAAAATTAAGCGAACTTCGAGGACTTTTAGTAGCAATGGAAGGAGAAGATAAAATTGAAACTAAGGAAAATGATGATGACGAATCGAGCTCATATGAAAATTTAAAAAGTGATAAAACGAGACATATCTGCAACGATAACGATTCATCATCATCGTTCAATGGTAACGACGTTGGCAATGTCAAAGAACATTTTGAAAGTATTTACAGTACTAATTCGTCGGAAAATAGCGTTCGAACCGACGAAGTAAACGGAAATGTATTACCTCAAAGCCATCATTCCGACTCGAGCAAATGTGATGGTGCTAAACAGAATTGTACCTGTTCGACGAAAACAAAATCTCAATGTGAAAAGTCGAGAAAAGTATCATCAAATAATCCATCTCATTGTGGAAATTTGAAAAGGAATAGTTTAAGGACAATGTCTTTCGTTAGTAAAAGGAGAACTCACGGTAAAACGATAAGAACTAAAGATAGCATCGGTGACAATGTGAAAAAAAGAAACAACTGGGTGTTAAAATTTAATTGTGCTAAATTGAAAACAGGGTTTCACGGTTCTAGTTCTAGTTTCGTCGAATCAGATATTCCCCATCCAAATATTGTCTGTGATTCGTGTATTTGTACCGGATATCGACGCACCGAAGACCACCATTTGGGAGCGGGTGTCGTATTCGAAGCGACCTCCGGCGAAGAATCTTCTTCGAGCGGAGCCACGAGGCGTAAATCCTGTCCTGCGGTGACGGGTACGAAATCGGAAGAACCCACGAGAAGCAATCCCATAATTGATCTCTCCAAATTCAACCCCGAAGATTTTCCAATTGAAGATTGTGACGAAAGGGCTAGATTGGAAAGAGCAAGGGAAATCGCCGAGGGCGTCGAACCTCCTCCCGGATTTCAACCGGGTCAACATATTCAACTTTTGTGTCCACCAGAATTCACTCTCGACAATTTGACAATGTTATTTCAAACTCATTTGGGTCTTCACACGGCAGCTGCTCTGTCTGCCTTGTCTCAAATAGACGTGAATCTCCCTCCGGCCGTCCAGAGAATAGTTCATACTCAAGTAGATTATATTCATTGCTTAGTTCCTGACCTTCTTCAAATCACTTTGTCTTCTTTTTATTGGGGTAAGTGACATTTTTAGGTTTTGTATCGACGTGTCACTAACAAAATTATTATTCTACATTCGCTTCTAACTTTAAGAAAAAATTTCAATTTAATTTACCGACGGAACTACAAAATGTTTCTTAAAAACTAATAATAATGGTCAACATCTTTAAAAGTTACATGAAAAAAAAAAAAAAAAAATTTCTAGAAGTAAGATGAACATTTTGCCAAAATTTAATTATTTAATTATTTACAAATTAAAATTTTCTCGTATGTTTATTTTTGTTTTCTTGTTACGTAAAAGAAACTTGGGACTAATATAATTATAATCAGATGATTTATCAATGTAAAAAATAGTCGCGAATTCATTTTTCCCGGCTTATCTATTTTCGATTATGTTTTTAAGTTTTTACGTAAAAAAAAAAAAAAAAAAAATCGTCTTTCAAATTATTCAGAAATAATTTTTTTTTTTTTTTTTTGAAATGAATAATTTCAAATAACGTGTTCATTTGCTATTAAATTAATTTAGAAAATTTTCTAAAATGTAGTTTTCCCGATGTTTCACAGACAAATGACTCACGAAAATTACCTAAAAGTCATCATACGTAGTAGTTTCAACCCTTATAAAACATCCCCGTTTGTCTCATTTTTTTTGCCCCTCCTCCCCCCCCCCCCATTATTTTTGCGTCAAAATTAAAAAAAAAAAAAAACCATAATAAAAAAATGTTGTTTTTTATTTTCGTTGCAGGAAAAATGGATAGATTTGAAGCGGAAAGATTGTTGGAAGGCCGTCCCGAGGGAACTTTTCTTTTGAGAGATTCTTCTCAAGAGGAATACATATTTTCGGTTAGTTTTAGAAGGTACGGTCGGTCTCTTCACGCAAGAATAGAGCAGTGGAACCACAGGTTCAGTTTCGATTCTCACGATCCGGGAGTGTTTTCGTCACCCACCGTTTGCGGTTTGTTGGAACATTACAAAGACCCGTCCTGTTGCATGTTTTTCGAACCCATGTTAGCGATACCTCTCCATCGAAATTTTCCTTTTCCTCTGCAACATTTGTGCAGAGCGACCGTTTGCAGCATAACAAAATACGATTCGATAAATCAACTCCATTTGCCAAAAGCATTGAAAAGTTACTTAAAAGAATATCATTATAAGCAAAGGGTTCGCGTTAGGAGATTCGATTCGGAGATTTAGTAAATTATAATTAAAAATATATTATTATTATTATTCGTTTAGGTTTTCTTTTTTTTTTTTAATTACGAAAAGAAGTGATATAAATATATCAATCGTATATATATATATATATGTATATTTATAAACATATATATTTTTTATAATTTAATATTATTTTGTTAAAAAAAAAAAAAAAATAATAATAATAAATAAATAAATGAAATTTAATTGGAGTTGGTGTTTGTTTTTGTTTGGAAAAAATTAAAATCAAGAAAAAAAATAAAAATAAATAAATAAATGAATACAATTTTATTTATAAATAATTTTTTTTTTTTTTTAATGACAATAAATAAGCTGTTTTAAATATGAAAAAAAAAAGTTTTAATAAAAAATGAATTAATAATATAATAGTATTACGTATAAAAATTTTTTTTCTCAACAAATTCTTAAAATTAAATATTACTAATATATAATATAATATAATATTATTTAATATTAAATTAAAATTTGTTAAATTAGTCAAATAAATAATTAAATTTAAAAATTATTTTGGATAAATTAATAAAAATAAATAAATAATCACATGTTATTGAAAAATATTGATTTTACCACCAATAAGTAATTAATTTTAAATGAAATATTTATTTATTAATTATTACAAATAATTTGAAAAATATAAAATTAATTATTATTCATTGTTGTTTAGAGTAAATGAAATGAGTACCAATTAATTAATCGACAGTTAGTAAAAGTACCCCCAAAGACCAAATTTTTAAAATAAAATTTAAATAGATAAAAAAAAAAAATTTTTCCCATTAAATAAATATTAGATTTAAAAAATTATTATTATCATTTTTAGAAATGTATAATAAACTTTATATTATTGTTAATAAATTTTAACATATCAAATGATTATAAATAAATAAATAATTCATATTATTTTGTTTCTTGATGTATAATAATAATAATAATTTTATTTAAATGCTACCATTTTGTTGAAATGTTTACAAATGAAAATTTAAAAAAATTTAATATGTGGGCCCTTTGAGTAAAGATATTTTTTTTTAAAAAAAATTATTTAAACTCTGTATTGTAAATAAATAAAATTCATATATTTGTTAATTGAAAATATTAAATAATTGAGAGTTGTAATGTTTTCCTTTTTTTTTTTGTACATAATTTTTTTTTTTTGTCAGATTTTAAATTATATTACATTCATTATTGCCAATTATAATGTTTGTTTGTTAATTTAATGGTTGCTTAATGAAAAAATAAATTTAACGATGCTCCAAAATTTTAATGGCAAATTGTAAATTAATAATTATAATAAAAAAATTTTCAATTATTTATCACAGTTTTTAATTTTTTTTTCTGGCAAAATATTTGTAATAAGGCTGAACCTATTGAATATGTTATCTTTTAATATTAAAACAAGTTTTAAATTATTTTGTTCACTTTTTACGATTAATTATTCGAACACATGCATTATGTATATCGAAACGATGAGAAATAATTGTTATGTTGGTTTTAAAACAATTTTCTAAAACAAAATTATTTTTAAGAAATTTTAAATAATATTTATTAAAATGAATGAATATATATGACAAAAAATTACAATTGAATTAATTAATAAAAGTAAGAACAAAAAAAAAATTTACATGTTTCTTCAGTGCTAAAATAATAATATTTCTTTGTTTATAATTTTTATGGAAAATTGTTAATAGTAACATACATATTTATTTAAAAAAACTAATTTAATAATCTTGAAATCACAATTTACTTAAAACTTATTAATTTTAAATGTAACTGACAAGAACACATATTATTAAATCACAAATTTTTTGGCAAATATTGCTTGTTATCTTTAGTGATAAGTTTTTATGTGGTTTTTAATAAAAAAAAAAATTTAACAGAATTAGCTCATACTTAAAACTAATAAAATTTAAAATTATCGGCATATATATTTATGGAATGTAATTGTTTTATTAAGTAATTAATTCTTTTTGACCCTCAAAAACCGCATCCGAAATAACAGATATTGAATTTGATATTCCATTAACTAAATATTTTGCATTTAAATACCACGTAATAAAAAATAATATTAACGCCGTAGAATCTATTATTATAATATTAAGGATTTATTTTTATTTTAAATAATATATATATATATATATATATATATATATATATATATATATATATATATATATATATATATATATATATATATAATTAAACAAAATTATAAATAAATGCAATGTATGTACAATAAAACTTTAACAGTAAATAATTTTAAAAGGATACTAATCACGTTCCTTTCCCATTTTTCTACCATATATAATTCAGTAACCATTAAATATCTAAAATACCAATATCTTATAAAATTAAAAATAGATTTTAATGACATAATTGGAGTTTAATTAAATTTCTAAAAATAATTCTTATGAAATGATCAAAGTTCTGTCTATGTGTAGCAATAAAAAATGATCGTGTCAAAAGATGATTTCTAAGATTTGTTATAAAGTATTACATTCGTCTAATATCGGTTATTACAATGATAATTTTACAGTTAAAGGTTGTTTTTTTTTTAATTTTAAGCTAAAAAAAACTTTTATTAAACAATTGCTTCAAAAAACCAAATGGTTTGCATATAAAGGAAAATAATATTCTATAATTTAAAAATTTTCAAATTTGTTTTTAGCTTACTACAGTAAAGCTAAAGTTTTTAGCTTACAGTTAAATGAATTTTATTTAAATTTTTTAAAATTTAGTTAAAATTTTGTTTAAAAATATTTTAACAGTAAATTTTTATCATAACCTCATATTATTTTTCATAACCAAAATTAAACATTTCGTTAATTTTTTTCTTTTAATAATATTCTAAAGCCACGACCGTAGTTTTCTCACTTTGGCATTACGTGACAAATAATAAACATGTCTGTTAAAGAATAAACTTCTTGATATTTTTTTTAACGTTTTCAAGTTGGTTTTGATATTTCCGTTTTTACTTAGTTTCACTGTCCACAATAATAAATCAGTTTTAAAAAAAAATAAGCCTCTTAGTTTTTAACAATTAATTAAAATGCATTTCCAGTAATTAAAAATAAAATAGAGTGTGTAATATGTCGTTTGAGTACAAAATTTCTATCTTCTTAAAAAAAAAAAAAATGTTATTCAAAAAAATAAGTGACATAAAGAAAAATATACTTTGTCAGTATTATTTTATTCCTGCGTCGTAAAATTTTTCTTGAAGGATAAATTATTGCAAATAACTTTCTTAATTTTTTTTAAATTTAACTTTACATATAATTTTTTCAGAGTTAAAAATTTTAAAAAATAATTAACAAAATTATTAAAATGAATACTTTTGGAGAAAATGTGTTGGAGGATGCTACAGTTCAAGAAGTTCTTCAGACAGGAACTGACTTAAGAAAATATTCTGCAGAAATAGAAAAAGAGTTAAAAGATGTTGAAAATAAATCTATTCAAGATTACATAAAAGAAAGTCAAAATATTGCAAGTTTGCATAATCAAATATGCGATTGTGATAATATTCTCGCTGTAAGTTGTTTTTTATTAATTATTACTTTTTTGTAAATGAACCAAAATTATTTCATTTAAATTAAAAAAATTTTTTTTTTAATTTATAGAGAATGGAAGAAATGTTGGTTAACTTTCAATCTGATTTAGGATCTATAAGCAATGAAATAGTTTTATTGCAAAAAAAATCTGTCCAAATGAGCCAACAACTTAGTATAGCAAGCTGTAACGCACCCACTTAGTCAATTTATTGATGATATTAGTGTATCTGAAACTCTTATTAAGTATGTGAATGTTTCTTTTCATTCTTATTTATGGTATAAAATGGTTTAAAAGTATTAGTATATTTTACTTTTTCTTTACTTATCATTACGTCTATTATTAAAATATTTTAGATTATGTAAAATTAAATAAAATATTATAAGATATTTTTATTACATTTTTTCTATAAGTAATTTATCTGAATCTCACATAAGTAAATTATTACTTATTAAACATAAAAATTTTTTATTTTTCCAGTTCTATTTTAGACATTCCAGTAGTGGATAAAGCTTTCATATCCCAGTTGATGATATTAAATCATAAAATTAATTTTGTCAAAGAACAAAATTTTAAAGGTAATTCTTATATTACAAAAAAAAAATTTTTTTTAAATGTTTTACATTTTTTTCAATAATTCTTATTTAGATGCAAAATGCAGCCAAGATGTTATGGAAGTTTTAGAAAAATTACGAATAAAAGCAGTTACTAAAATTAGGCTCTACTTATTAGAACAAGTTTCTAAATTTCGAAAACCATTGGCTAATTATCAGGTGCCGCAGAGTGTTTTGCTTAAAAATAAGTTAGTCAAATAACTTTTTTTTTTTATGTTAAGAAATAAAAGTAAGCCTTTTTTTTTTTTTAAAAATTTGCATTATTATTTCAGATTTCTTTTTGAATTTTTAATGGGTCAAGAAAGAAACACTGCAGCAGAAATTAGTAGCGAATATGTTGAAACAATGAGTAAAGTTTATTTTTCATATTTTAAGTCTTACGATTCTAGACTAATGAAACTCTCGGTAAAATTAAAAAATTTTGAATGATTTATCTCTTATTTATTCTTAATAGTAATTTTTTTTTTTTAAATTTTTTTCATTTTAGTATGAAGAAGCTGCTACTAAAGATGATTTGATGGGTATCGAGGATACCGGATCAAGAGGAGGTTTATTTCATAAAGCTACATTGAAACACAAAACAACAGTTTTTACAATCGGTAATAGAGGTGATATTTTAACTACTCAAATAGAAGCTCCTGTCATAGTACCTCATGCTGCTCAAAAGTCTGGAACAAAAGTAAGTATTGCATAAAACAAACTATTAAAAAGAAAAAAAATTTTATTTTAGTTAAATGCTTTAAGAAATTTTTTTTTTTTATATTTTAGTATCCGTATGAAGCATTGTTTAGAAGCGAACAATATGCTTTATTAGACAATGCTTGTAGGGAATATTTATTTTTAAGCGAATTTTTTGTCGTAAAAGGTTCTCAAGCTCTACAAATTTTTAATCAAATATTTGGAAAAACGTTAAAACTTCTTTT